ACCACAATGTGAACACCTCTCGGTCTCTTTTTCACCACCACCACACACACACACGCACGCACGCACACACACACACACACACACACACACTCTCACTCAAGATGTCTCTGAGCTTCGCCACGGTTTACCCCACCACACTGCCACCGCAGCTGCCATGAGCCACGGCCTTATGAGATTTCTCACCGCGTCGTCAACACCTCTCCGTTTCAGTGTGCAGTCCAGATTTGGCCGTGCCCCCACGGCCCCACCAACATCTGGTTGATTTTTACTGACTGCTTTGTGAATGGCACTGTTCTCCGATGCCTTCTGGAGTGTCCATCATCAATAAAAGGGATATGTAGTTTGTCTGACAGAACACTTGAAGCCTGCGACCACATTGAGAGCTCCTCGATCAAGTGTGGTCATCCAAGAAGTCGGAGCACTTGGCCCCGACCCCTCAGTCCCATCTTATTACGCTCCACAATAACTCTAGGTGCTCAAGGTTTCGAGAGAGCACAAAATAAAAGGCTCGTAAAAGAGTTGTTGGAATGTTTTTTTCTGATGGATTCATTTTTTTAGGTTGAATAGATTATCTGAATAGAAGTCACCATTTGACCTCAAGAGTAGGTTTACGTCTGTATAACGGTCTCTTAAGTAACAAAATGTTGCTTCAAACTTTTTCCATTCCAGAGGACATCAAATCTGATGCCATGGCAGCTGTCCTGTGGATTGAGGATATTGACATATTAGGTCCAAACCTACTACAATGGGGTTGAGTAATCATCTTTGAAAGCCTCCTTTTTGGTTTGTTTTTTTATGTTCAGATTTGTAGCATAGTTCTTACTCCGTGCTTACTGTGCAGCCCATTCAGAGGCATTTAAATGCTAATGTGTATCTCATCTGTCACGTGGCGATGTCTGGTCCCGGTCCCGCCCAGTCATGTCCCGTATATATTTTAACTCTCGGAGCAGCAGGTTGAATCAGCCTTTTGTGTCCTCAGCTGCCGAATGCAATAACGATCTATTCAGCTCCAGGTCGGAAAAGCACGTGAACCGGCACCTTCCCGTTTTCATCAAAGATATTTTAACACGTCAAGCCAGAACAACTATGGCTTTCATATTTCATACTTAAATCCAAGCTGATGAATAACAAAAGAGTCTCCCCCTTCACATTTCCCTCGTATTGATTTCACATGCATCCCAAGGTTACCGGACACATTCGTCCATTCTTTCAACATTCTTCTGTTTTCTTTTCTTCTTCTTCTTCTTTTATGAAAAGAAGTCCCCCCCACGGCTGTTTTTGACTCACAACTGTATGCTTAGTTTGTTACAGATCAGAAGCAACGGTCATTCAGATAGAAGGCAGTCCTTTGTGAGTCTCTTTCCACCTCTCGCCCGGTCTTCTCTCTTTTCACTCTGCTCTTTACCCCCTTTCCCTCTGGGGCTGCAAACAGGATAACTTAGTGCTTGTGTATGACTCCACACACACATACACAAAAGCAGGGTTAATTTAGGGACATTGCACTGAATTTCGCTTGCACCATAGAGGCTTCCCCCAACTATAAGTGAGCAAATTAATACCAATTAAGACGCAAACCACTTTCTGAATGTAGCTGCTGTAAAAACAACACGGGGACACCGATTGTTGCCCCCGATTTGACAGATGTCCCCAATCAACTGGTTCAAAGTCCGACAGCGGTCCCCAAATGACACAGCCCAGACCGACATCCTAAATACACACTTCCTGGAGCAGAGCAAGACAATAAATTAGAGCTTAATAAGGAAACATGGACATATACACACAGATGGGGAAAGTGATACGGGTTGGTCGTGAGTCAATGACAACATTTGCCTTCCCCTCTTAAATTGGGAGCATGGTGAAGACGATGGCCTTACTGTTTTTCTCCACTTTTGTCCTTTTTGGCCAAAGCCGTCGGTCTTCTCCATAAATCACTCAATATGCACTCATACACAACACCGCACCCCCTTCCCCCCCTCCCTGTACCCCTCCCCCATCTGTGTGTATATGTCCATGTTTC